CGCAGCATTACAGTTCACAACACAGTCATAACTGATATCATGCAGGGCTGCTGTGTGTCTTGTAAAGAGAAATAGATGTGGTGCTTAGTGTTTGCACTGGAACGTTAAACTCTGTCCTTTTATTCCTCTCTGTCTCTCATACGCACCCTCGGTATAACACAACGCATCGCCAAAGCTTCTGACAGCATGAGCTAACACTCCGGGCAGGGATTTCAAGAGGAGGCTCAAATTCAACTCTTACAGTATAGACAAGAAGTTTTCTTTTTTCAAAACTCAGTAGGATAACTCAAGATAATCTTTGGCATTGGGAACCAAAGATCTGGGGAAGGTATATTTGTTCAGATAATTGATACATCCCAGGTTACGTGAAATTTATTACAGAATGCAAAAGGAAAAAAGGAGCAAAGCAACTTAAACCAAACCTCTTAAAGTCTCCAGGGAAATCCTGCTTGGATCAGCTCTGGGATGAGGTGTGTCACCTTCCTTGTAGTTTTCAAACTTACTTTTCTTGCCCTTCGCCAGACTCTCAAAGCTGCAGCTTCACTCACAGGACAAGAGCTGTTTTTCAGCCAGCTCTGGCTCAATTACTGCACTTCAAGATTTATACACTGTAGATGGAATTAAAACATTACTGTGGACTCCCAAGTTTATAAACAACTAAGGAGAAAAGAAATTGGGTGTTTGGTGAAGGCCAGACACTTGTATATTTTTGCAGGCTTGCCAGAGCCAGTATGAAGCCTTCAAGGATGGCAGCTGAGATGCTTCAGGCAGAAACACATTGTGGTCAAGGGCTGAAGCCAGGGGATGAGGATTTCTGTTTTCTTTCTTAATGAAATTATCAATGACACCTGATAGTACTGAGGCTCATGCCTGAGCTTATGACAATACAAGCTTAATATCCTTTAAAAATCAGTTTAAACCATTTAAGACCCCAACCTCATCTACTCATGTATATGTAGTTTAGTTTCCAATAGCTTCTTTCACAGTGGAAAAGAGACAAATGAAAATTTTGGCATAGTCATTAGTATATGCACTTTATTTTTTGCGATCATATGTTTGACAATGAACGTATCTAAAGTACTATCTTGAAATACACATGGACTTAACTGTAACTCATAGTTAGAACTTTCTTTTCTAGTTCTTCCAGTCGAAGAGTTTTCATACCAGTGTGAAAATTCTGATGTAAAATTCTCAGATGCAAGAAAAAGTCTTCATACATGACAACTTACTGGAACCAAAGCCAAATTTAAAAAACGAAAAACAAAAGTGACAAAAAAAAACAAACCAAAACACACAAATTACAAAATTGCCTGTTCACCATGGGATTTCTTTTGGTGGGTAGTTGGAATATAGCAGTTTGTTGGTCAGAGAGAAAGGGGAGATCTCCAGGGTCAGTGCTATTCTGTTCTTGATGAAGTAATTGAAAATCCAAACATCTATACTTTATAGTGGACAAGATTGATGTTGAGGACTGGCTTGAGAAATATGAGAAGTCACAGCGTGAAAACAAAGTCCTGGGGAAATAGTTTTCCATCTATCAACTTTGATTTTTTTCCTTTCAGTGGAACTTCCCCCTGCTGATGTTTGCCTGGAAAATTGCTCCAGCCTTGTGTTGTGGCAATACAGTAGTTATTAAGCCGGCAGAGCAGACGCCACTCAGTGCACTCTACATGGGAGCCCTCATCAAGGAGGTAAGAGAAGCTGACTTCAGGAATGCTTCTGACTCCCTTTACAGCTGGAATCTACCAGAGCATATCTCATTTAACAGGATGCGTCAACTCCGATCAGCCACATTTCCTCTTGTTCTGTTTTCCTAGGCGGGCTTTCCTCCTGGAGTCATCAATATTTTGCCAGGATACGGGCCAACAGCTGGAGCAGCAATAGCTTCTCACATTGGCATAGACAAGATTGCATTCACAGGATCTACGGAGGTATGTATGTGAAAACGCAGGGACTGAGGAACAGACCTGCAAACTAGTTGAGGGGTTAAAAAACAAAATAGTCTGGGTGCGGTGGCTGACGCCTGCAATTCCAGCACTTTGAGAGGCCAAGGTGGGCAGATCACGAGGTCAGGAGAGGGAGATCATCCTGCCTAACGCCGTGAAATGCAGTCTATACTAAAAATACAAAAAAATAGCAGGGCATGGTGGCAGGCACCTGTAGTCCCAGCTACTCGGGTGGTTGGGGCAAGAGAGTTGCTTGAACCCGGGAGGCAGAGATTGCGGTGAGCTGAGATCGCACCACTGCACCACATCCCGGTCAACAGAGCAACACTCCATCTCAAAAACAATAAAAATAGTACCTAAAAATAGGCTAGACAGCAAAAGGGCAGTGAGTACCCAAGCCCACAAAGGGTAACACTGGTGGATGTGAAAGCAAAGGCACACAGGGACCGTTTGACACCAGAGATCTCTGAGCATTTTTGTGATACCGTCTGTGTCAGAACTAATCCCAGAAGCTGGGGTCCTAGACATTTTGTTGAGTCAAGAACAGTAGTGACAGCAAGTTAAGAAGCTGGAAAGCTAGTCTCTGGTAAGGATCAGAGTGGAGACACAAGCTTTCCCTTCTCATTGTTTTGACAAGTCAGGTAGATGCAATTGGTGACTTACTATGCCCCACGAGCCATAAGAGATGATGTAGAGCAGGGCTCAGCACGTGTGTTCTGTAGAAGGCCAGATAGCGAATGTGGTAGATTTTACGGCAATGTGGGCTCTGCTGCAGCTCCTCAACTATGTCATAGTATCACCAAACAGTCATAGACAATACATAAACTAATGAGTGTGGCCATGTGCCAATTAAACTTTATGTAGAGGCATGGAAATTGGAATTCTTCACCTAATTTTTATAAATTACAAAATCCTTGTCTCTTGTTTCCAGACATTTTAAAATGCAGGCCAGTCGTGGTAGCTGACGCCTGAAATCCCAGCACTTTGGGAGGCTGAGGCAGGCAGATCACGAGGTCAGGAGAGCGTTACTATCCTGGCTACCATGGTGAAACCCTGTCTCTACTAAAAATATTAAAAAAAAAAATAGCCAGGTGTGGTGGCACACGCCTGTAGTCCCAGCTACTTGGGAGGCTGTGGCCGGAGATTCGCTTGAACCCAGGAGGCAAAGGTTGCAGTGAGCTGAGATTGCACCACTGCACTCCTGCCGTGGTGACAGAGTGAGATTATGTCTCTAATCCTAATAATAATGCAAAAAACTGTTTTTAGCTTGTAGGTCATACCAAAACTGCATGTTAAAGTTGACCCATGGGCCACAGTTTACAGACCCCTGTTACAGAGTCACAAGTCAGCTTAGGAAGATTTATGAACGTTACTCAGGTATCTTTGGTTCAGGTAACAGATGATAAGAGAGTCTGACTCATTGTTTCAAGTAGAACCTCACAGGTGATATCATCATTGAACAAGGGATGTCTGCAGGTTTAGAACAGTGCTGTCTAATAGCAACCTTTGTCAGTTGATATTGGCTAGTAGCGGCCAGGCACGGTGGCTCATGCCTGTAATCCTGGCACTTTGGGAGGCTGGTGGATCATGAGGTCAGGAGATTGGGACCATTCTGGCCAACATGGTGAAACCCTGTCTCTACTAAAAATACAAAAATTAGCTGGGCACCGTGGCTCATGCCTGTAATCCCAGCACTTGAGGAGGCTGAGGTGGGCCGATCGTGAGGTCAGGAGTTCGAGAGCAGCCTGGCCAACAGGATGAAATCCCATCTCTACTGAAAATATAAATTAGCCAGGTGTGGTGGCACGCATCTGTAGTCCCAGCTACTCAGGAGGCAGAGGTTGCAGTAAGCTGAGGTCTCGCCACTGCATTCCAGCCTGCAAAAGAGCAAGACTCCATCTGAAAAAAAAAAAATTCATGAGTAGCCACATTAAAAAGAAGTAAAATTAATTTTAACATTTAATCCAGGATTTTCACAATTTTTCAACATGTAAATATATTCTTTTTCACAGGAATTCCTTCAAACACGGTGTTTTACATTTATAGCACATTTCAGTTCACACTAGCCACATTTCAAGTTCCCATTGCCATGTGTGCTGCCATATTGGACAGCACAGATCTGTAAACATTTTATCAGTTGATACGGAGTTAATTACAGTTGGTTAAACTGACTCAAAGTAGTAAATTTAATAAACCATTAATAAATATTAATTCAGTTAGAATTAATTACCGAGTTTTGTGTTTGTCAAACACAAAAGTCACAGTTTGTGTTAATGTGTTTCCAAACATTTTATTCTAGTTGTACTTGTTATTATTTTGCAGTTTAATGAAATATTTAAACCAAAATGTGAGTATGAAAGGGAATTATTATTTCTACATAGATAAGCTTAATGATTTGAACATATTTGCTGAAGGCTAGATGCTAACAAAAACTAAAGATGCCATCAATTAGGAATGAGCAAGACAACTGTAAAAGACTGGGGAAAACGGAAATCTAGATAGAATGTGCGCCTGGAATGGCTTTGCAAATGCTTCTAAGTCCCTACTTCACTTCTTTAAAGAAACTGAAGACAGAAATCATAGTAATATTTTAGAGGCGTGGTTTAATCAGAAGGGACACGTGGACCCATAATTAAAGTTTTTAGTTTTGTATCAAGAGCCTGGAGAATGAATATATGTATTTTAAAAAGTGAAATGAAATATTTAAAGGATCTTTTTCTGGTTTAACCTTTTTCTGTTGCCCAACTAATGGTCCTGATTGAGTCAATGAAGAGTCTTATATGGTGTAATTCCTTTTTTTGAGATAGAGTTTCACTCTTTCACCCAGGCTGGAGTGAAGTGGCACAATCTCGGCTCACTGCAACCACCACCATGCCTCGCTAGTTTTTACTAGAGATGGGTTTTTGCCATGTTGGCTGGTCTCAAACTCCCGACCTCAGGTGATCCGCCGGCCTTGGCCTCCCAAATTGCTAGGATTACAGGTGTGAAGCACAGCATCTGGCCTATTGTGTAATTTTTAAAAATAAAAATGACAGCATAATATATCAAGCCAGAGATAACACCGTAACCGCTGCATAGAATACTCTATCAGTATATCATAATTTAATTAATCCTGTATTAATGTAAGACCTTAGAAAAATTGTGTGTGTGTGGATACGTATTTCTAAATCTAACTGTATACACATAAGTATTCACACACATGTATATATGCGTGTATTAGATTCTCTGTTGGATATCGATCTAGAAGTGGAATTGCAAAATATAAAGGTATTTCTAAGTCGCTTACCAAGAATGCCTTATAGTGATGGTTTCCTTTGTAAGGTGTCTTTATTTAAGTAAGTTAATCTATTGTTTGTTGTGGAATCTGAACATACGATTTGCAGTTTGTTCTTTGCTTTTTAACTTTTTTAAACAGTTGTTTGTCATGTGCTGGTTTTAAATTCACATGTAGTCCTGTCTTTTAGTCTTTCTCTGACAGCTTCTTGAAGAAACCCCTTCAAAATTTTACAAAGGGCCCTTAATTTTTTTTCAGTAGTTTTATGGTTTTGTTTTTGTTTAAATGTTTTATTTTCATGGATAAGGAAAGGTAAGTGTTGTTTGTTTATAAATGAGTGTTCAGCTGCTTCAAAACAATTTATTAAACAGTCTATCCCTTGGTAGCTCATCTGAATATAACATAACATTAAATGATTCATTTCTAAATGTACAGGTTGGTGCAAAAGTGATGGCAAAAACCACAATGACTTTTGTACCAACCTATACATGAAATTTCTGATTTAAAGCTCATAATTTTGTCTGTTCTTTCACCAATGCCAGACTTCCTTAATTACTAGGTTTCATAAATGTGTTACCATAATGTAGGCAAGATGCCCTTTATTTGGTTTTTCAAAGCCCATTTATTCTTTCAGAAGAAATTTCATTTTCCAAGCACCTTATGTTCCTCTCAAAAACTTTTATTGTAATTTTTATTGGCATGACATTAAATGTCTATATTAAAATGAGGAAAAGTGCTATCTTTACCATGTTAACTCCTCCTTCAATAGGTGTGGGGAGAGAGGCAGGCCATCCTTGTCTTCTGCCGTTTTCAAAGGGGACTGCTTCCAGTTTTTGCTCATTCAGTATAATATTGGCTGTGGGTTTGTCATAAATAACTATTTTGAGAAATGTTCCATCCATACCTAGTTTATTGAGAGACTTTTGCATAAAGGGCTGTTGAATTTTGTTGAAGGCCACCTCTGCATCTATTGAGATGATCATGTGGTTTTCATCTTTGGTTCTGTTTATGTGATGGATTATGTGTATTGATTTGCATATGTTGAACCAGGCTTTCATCCCAGGCATGAAGCTGGCCTGATCATGATGGGTAAGCTTTTGGATGTGCCGTTGGGTCTGTGTGTGGATTTGGTTATGGATTGTGTGTGTGGGTCTGGTTATGGATTGTGCGGATGGGTCTCGTTATCGATTATGTGTGTGTGTGGGTCTGGTTATGGACTGTGTGTGTGGGTGTGGTTATGTATTGTGTGGATGGGTCTGGGTATGGGTGTGGTTATGGATTCTGTGGATTTGGTTATGAATTGTGTGTGGGTGTGGTTATGGATTGTGCGGATGGGTCTCATTATGGGTCTGGTTATGGGTCTCGTTATCGATTATGTGTATGGATTATGTGTGTATGGGTCTGGTTATGGATTGTGGGTGTGGATCTCATTATGGATTGTGTGTGTGGGTCTGGGTATGGGTCTAGTTATGGATTTTGTGGATTTGGTTATGGATTGTGTGTATGGGTCTGGTTATTGTCGGGGTCCGGCACTTCTGCCAGTGGATTACCGACCTGCATGAATCCCCAAGATCGCCAACGTAGATGTCTCGTTCAACCTGAGGGAGAGAGTGAGCAGAAGTGAAAGAAAATAGAGAAGCGGAGTGTGGAGGGCTGGCTTAGGCTATGTCCAAGCAGCCATTTTATTTTTGCAATATGTTTCCTTATATATTTTTCTGAAGTCAAGTTGTTTACACCAGATCAATGTATTTAAGTTACAGTAAGCAAGTTACCCTCACTAAGTAAGTTAATCCCATTAAGTAGGTTACGCCCAATGGATCAATGGAAGTAAGTTACAGTTACACCCAGCAAGTTATGGTAAGTGAGTGACCAAGTGTAAATACTTAAGTTAATATTTTACAAAGAAGGTAACAAGGGTCCAAAATGAACACAAGCAATAATCCGTAAGAAGCTGAAAGTGGGCACATTGCTTCCCAAGTCCTCATATCCATAAAGTAATGTCTGTTAATTATTTAGAATAAAATAGTCCCTCTCTCGGTTCCTGCTTTCCCTCAGCTCGACTCCCCCAGCCAGGGATCTGTGTCTTGGCTCAAGCTCACCGTATGGCGAGGCCCATTTCCCAGGGGCCTCACACGGGAGCGATCCCCACAGATTCCCTCAGGTTATGGATTATGTGTACGGGTCTGGGTCTGGTTATGGATTGTGTGTAGGGATTTGGTTCTGGATTGTGGGTGTGGGTTTGGTTATGGATTTTGTATATGGGTCATGTTATGGATTGTGTGTATGGATTTGGTTATGAATTGTGTGTATGGGTCTGGTGATGGATTATGTGTGTTGGTCTAGTTATGGGTTTGATTATGGATTGTGTGGGTGGGTCTGGTTATGGATTATATGTAGGGACTTGGTTATTGATTGTGTGTGTGGGTCTGGTGATGGATTGTGTGGATTTGGTAATGGATTATGGGTGTGGGTCTGGGTATGGATTATGTGTATGGGTTTGGGTATGGATTGTCTGTGGGTCTTGTTATAGATTGTGTGTATGGGTCTCGTTATGGATTGTGTGTGTGGGTCTGTGTATGGACTTGTGTGTATAGGTCTGATTATGCACTGTGTGGGTTTGGTTATGGATTATGTGTGTGGGTCTCGTTATGGATTGTGTGTAGGGATTTGGTTATGGATTATGTGTATGGGTCTTGTTATGGGTCTGGTTATGGATTATGTGTAGGGATTTGGTTATTGATTGTGTGGGTGGGTGTAGTTATGGATTGTGGGTGTGGGTCTGCTTATGGGTCTGGTGATGGATTGTGTTTGTCTAGTTATGGGTTTGGATCTGGTTGTAGATTGTGTGTATGGGTTTGGTGATGGATTGTATGGGTGTGGTTATGGATTGTGTGTGTGGGTCTGGTTATGGATTATGTGTGTATGGGTCTGGTTATGGGTCGTGTGTGGGGGTCTGGTTATGGACTGTGTGTATGGGTCTGGTTATGGATTATGTGTGTGGGTCTGGTTACGGATTATGTGTGTGGATTTGGTTACGGATTATGGGTGTGGGTCTGGTTATGGATTGTGTGTGTGGGTCTGGTTATGGATTGTGTGTATGGGTCTCGTTATAGATTGTGTGTACGGGTCTGGTTAGGTCATGTGTGGGGGTCTGGTTATGGATTGTGTGTGGGGGTCTGGTTATGGATTCTGTGGGTCTGGTTATGCACTGTGTCTGTGGGTCTTGGTAGGGACTGTGTGTATGGGTGTGGTTATGGATTGTGTGTATGGGGCTGGCTATGGATTCTGTGTATGGGTCTGGTTATGGATTGTGTGTGTATGGGTCTGGTGATGGATTGTGTGGATTTGGTTATGGATTATGTGTGTTGGTCTAGTTATGGGTTTGGTTATAAATTATGTGTGTTGGTTTGGTTATGGATTGTGTGTGTGGGTCTGGTTATGGATTCTGTGGGTCTGGTTATGCATTGTGTCTGTGGGTCTTGGTAGGGACTGTGTGTATGGGTGTGGTTATGGGTCTGGTTATGGATTGTGTGTATGGGGCTGGCTATGGATTCTGTGTATGGGTCTGGTTATGGATTGTGTGTGTATGGGTCTGGTGATGGATTGTGTGGATTTGGTTATGGATTATGTGTGTTGGTCTAGTTATGGGTTTGGTTATAAATTATGTGTGTTGGTTTGGTTATGGATTGTGTGGGTGGGTCTGGGTATGGTTTATGTGTATGGCTGTGTGTGTGGGCCTGGTTATGGATTGTATGTTTCTGCTTATGGATTATGTGTATGGGTCTGGTGATGGATTGTGTTTGTTTGGTTATGGATTATGTGTGTTGGTCTAGTTATGGGTTTGGTTATGGATTGTGTGGGTGGGTCTGGTTATGGATTATGTGTATGGATTTGGTTATGGATTATGTGTGTGTGGGTCTGGTTATGGGTCTGATTACAGATAGTGTGTGTGTCTGGTTACGAATTATGTGTATGGATTTGGTTATGGATTGTGTGTATGAGTCTGGTTATGGGTCTCGTTATCGATTATGTGTATGGATTTCATTATGGATTGTGTGTATGGGTCTGGTGATGGATTATGTGGATTTGGTTATGGATTATGTGTATGGGTTTGGTTATGGATTGTGTGTGTGGGTCGGGTTGTGGATTGTGTGTATGGACTTGTATGTATGGGTCTGATTATGGATTGTATGGATTTGGTTATGGATTATGTGTATGGGTCTGGGTATGGATTGTGTGTATGGGTCTTGTTATTGTGTGTATGGGTCTTGTTATGGGTCTGGTTATGGATTTACGTGGATTTGGTTATGGATTGTGTGTGTGGGTCTGGGTATGGACTGTGTGTATGGGTGTGGGGGTCTGGTTATGGTTTATGTGTATGGCTGTGTGTGTGGGTTTGGTTATGGATTGTGTGTATGGGTCTGGTATGGATTGTGTGTATGAGTCTGATTATGGATTGTGTGGGTTTGGTTATGGAATATGTGTGTGGGTCTGGTTATGGATTGTGTGTATGAGTCTGATTATGGATTGTGTGGGTTTGGTTATGGAATATGTGTGTGGATTTGGTTATCGGTCTGGTTATGGTTTATGTGTATTGCTGTGTGTGTGGGTCTGGTTATGGATTGTGTGTATGGGTCTGGTTATGGGTCATGTGTGGAGGTCTGGTTATGCATTGTGTCTGTGGGTCTTGGTAGGGACTGTGTGTATGGGTGTGGTTATGGGTCTGGTTACGGATTATGTGTATGGGTCTGGCTATGGATTCTGTGTGTGGGTCTGGTGATGGATTGTGTGTGTAGGTCTGGTTATGGATTGTGTGTGTAGGTCTGGTTATGGGTCGTGTGTGGGGGTCTGTTTATGGACTGTGTATGTGGGTCTGGTTATGGAATGTGTGTTGGTTTGGTTATGGATTGTGTGTGTGGCTCTGGTTATGCATTGTGTCTGTGGGTCTTGGTAGGGACTGTGTGTATGGGTGTGGTTATGGGTCTGTTTATGGATTGTTTGTATGGGTCTGGTGATGGATTATGTGGATGGTCTGGTTATGGATTGTGTGTATGGGTCTGGTTATGGGTCTGGTGATGGATTATGTGTATGGATTGTGTGGGTGGGTCTGGGTATGGACTGTGTGTATGGGTTTGGTTATGGATTGTTCTGGTTGTGGGTCTGGTTTTGGTTTATGTGTATGGCTGTGTGTGTGGGCCTGGTTATGGATTGTATGTTTCTGCTTATGGATTATGTGTATGGGTCTGGTGATGGATTGTGTTTGTTTGGTTATGGATTGTGTGGGTGGGTCTGGGTATGGACTGTGTGTATGGGTCTGGTTATGGATTATGTGGGTGGGTGTGGGTCTGCATATGGGTCTGGTTATGGATTGTGTGTGGGGGTCTGGTTATGGATTATGTGGGTGGGTGTGGGTCTGCTTATGGGTCTGGTGATGGATTGTGTGGATTTGGTTATGGATTATGTGTGTTGGTCTGGTTAGGGATTCTGTGTATGGATTTGGTTATGGATTGTTTGGGTTGGTCTGGTTATGGATTGTGTGTATGGGTCTGGTAATGGATTATGTGTATGGGTATGGACTTGTGTGTATGGGTCTGGTTATGGGTCTGATTACGGATAGTGTGTGTGTCTGGTTATGGGTCTCGTTATCGATTATGTGTATGGATTTGATTATGGATTGTGTGTATGGGTCTGGTTATGGATTATGTGTGTGGGTCGGGTTGTGGATTGTGTGTATGGGTCTGGTTATGGATTATGTGTATGGGTCTTGTTATGGGTCTCGTTATGGATTTACGTGGATTTGGTTATGGATTATATGTGTTGGTATAGTTACGGGTTTGGTTATGGATTGTGTGTGTGGGTCTGGGTATGGACTGTGTGTATGGGTCGTGTGTGGGGGTCTGGGTATGGGTCTGGTTATGGTTTATGTGTATGGCTGTGTGTGTGGGTTTGGTTATGGACTGTGTGGTATGTGTCTGCTTATGGATTTTGTGTGGGGGTCTGGTTATGGATTATGTGTAGGGATTTGGTTATTGATTGTGTGTGTGGGTCTGGGTATGGACTGTGTGTATGGGTATGGTTATGGAATATGTGTGTGGATTTGGTTATCGGTCTGGTTATGGTTTATGTGTATTGCTGTGTGTATGGGTCTGGTTATGAATTGTATGTGTCTGCTTATGGATTTTGTGTGGGGGTCTGGTTATGGATTGTGTGTATTGGTCTAGTTATGGGTTTGGTGATGGATTGTGTGTGTGGGTCTGGGTATGGACTGTGTGTATGGGTGTGGTTATGGGTCGTGTGTGGGGGTCTGGTTATGGTTTATGTGTATGGCTGTGTGTGTGGGTTTGGTTATGGATTGTATGTGTCTGCTTATGGATTTTGTGTGGGGGTCTGGTTATTGATTGTGTGGATTTGGTTATGGATTATGTGTGTGTGGGTCTGGTTATGCATTGTGTCTGTGGGTCTTGGTGGGGGTGTGGTTATGGGTCTGGTTATGGATTATGTGTGTGGGTCTGGTGATGGATTGTGTGTATGGGTCTGGTTATGGATTATGTGTAGGGATTTGGTTATTGATTGTGTGTATGGACTGTGTGTATGAGTC